TCTACTTTTCGAATCACATAAGCACATAAATTAAGCTCTGAATAGATTTTTTTTATCATTAAGAACCTATGTAGGCAAACATTCAAATGTCGTAAAAAATGCACTATAATAACACAATAATAATAATAATAATAACAACAACAACAATAATAATAATAATAATAATAATAATAATAATACATTTTGACAAAAATTAAAATTTTAAAATTGATTTTTTCTCGTATGAATTTAGTACAATGTATTCATTTTAATGGATGTAATACTTTCTGTATGCATTTTATAAAAACACACTTTACAAAAAATCTGTTTGAGATGTTTACCTTTCTCAAAATATACATCTTTAATTTTACAGATGTGATATGACCATATTATGATCATAATTGAATTTGTTTTGAAAATGAGCAATTTCTATATCTAATAAGACATGCAAAGAAGAAGAAAAAGTTAATTTCACCCCTAACATTAAAAGTAAAATATATATACACACAGATTATATATATATATATATATATATATATATATATATATATATATAAATATATATGCTTTTGTGACAGTATGCCAACTTGAAACTATTTGATTTAAAATGAAATACTATTTTATTAATAATTTGCATTTGCATTTGCATGGTTTATATTTCAGCTCATTTGAAAGGTGGGACCAACAAAACAAGGCATTCTAGGTGTGACTTTTCAATGTTGTAAAGATCATTTTTACAGCTTTCTAACAGTTGTAGCATCATATTAGAGTCATTTTATAGATGCATTTGCAACCAAATTGTTTTTTTCCTTATTGAAAATGGCAATTTCAAACATTTAAATCATGGTGTAGGTGAGTTGATGGGGACAAACCCACAAGCCAAAACAAATATTCAGGCATGAACAAGGGCAGCATTTTAACACAGTGCTTCATACCTGAGGTCCTGCTTCCTTTTGATCTTCAAAGTTTTGCTTTATTCTGTTATGAAAAATGACAATGAAGCATTATGTCATAAGATTGTGTGATTTTATTTATTTATTTATTTATTTACTTATTGTGATTTACTGATTCATTATTCTAAATTGATCTTACTAAATGAGCTTACCTATGTCTTGTCCCCATCCCTGTATCACATAAAAAGAGTCAGTTAGATAACAGCAGTCAAAGAGCCAATCACAATATAGTACTAACAAGAACATGTCATAATACTAGAGAATTTTCTCTCTTTCTTCTTTTTTTTTTTGTGGAATAAAACACCGGCATAAATATACTGAATATGTGGTTTCACTCACTGGCCATTTTATGAGCTCCTACCTTATATCTCCACATGTATAATATGTGGTGCTAGTAGGAGTGTATCACACACAGCAATGGTGCTGGGGTCAGTATTAAGAGAGGACCATCAACAAATATCCAGCCAGCAGTGGTACGTTTGTATACATAAGATAGTTGTTAATTTTTAGTATCTGTAAACCCTAAACTCAAGTTTCTTTAGTGGGATGTGACTGGTTGTTTTGGTAGCACAAATCTCCCTCCATAGAATCACCTGCCAATTTAATCGCTGTGGTCCTCCTGGTCTGCAGTAGAATTGCAAATTCACCCCAATTACTAGTTCACTGTACGTAACTGGCTTCATTTGATTGGAGAAACAGGATAATGCAAAATGTGACCCTCTTTGCAGAAATACTCAAGAAACTGTATGAAGTTTCTTCTCTTAAAACAACTTAAAGTACAATTTATTACAATTTTGCTTAAGCAACTGCAATGCACAACTTTGTTTTATCTAATAGTCTATCAACAAGGCAAGAAATATTTTCCCAGAACACATATAGTCTAAAAATAAACTTCTGGAGGTACTTACAGAAATGATAGATTTGCAACGCAAGCCAAGCAGAGACAAAGACCGTTTCAAATGGTAAGACAATCACATGTAAGTCTAAAGTTGGTGCTCCTTTGTCTAGATGTCAACAAAAGTAAACAAATCTAAGCAAAAATCAGAGCTCACCAGTCATTTATTTCTGTTTTAATCAAAGCAGCCATTAAATACAAGTTATTCATGTTTATATAACCCCAGCCAAGTAATCCCAATCACAGTGATGCTGAGGTCTGGACTATGGGGTGGTCAGTCTAATGTCCTAAAATCACCAACCTAAAATTGCAAATTTTCTTCTTGTCTATTTCTTTTTGTCAGGAATAGCTTCTTGGCAGCTGCATTGATTTCTAAAACTTTTCAGTTAATTTTCTTGACTTTTTCCTTCATTGTGCAAGTGGATTAATTTATATCTAATCTCCTCAGAAATATCTCCAGAGAAATTAATAACTTGTACTTAATGACCATTTTTGCTCATACAGTATGAAGGTTACCTGCTTTCAGGCTTAGTTCTGTTATTAGAGTGATAGAATTTACAATATTCAGTCCTACAGCTCCAAACAAGTAGACCAGAATGTGAGGAAGATCTGTAATTCAGAGTAAACCGATTTATGGATTGATCTATTTTCAAAGTTAATCATAGAAGTTGCTCCTACTATAAGCAAAGCATCATATTGTAAAGAAAAGTCAGAATAGACTAACCAGGCAAATGTTTTGGATGTTTGAAGAGGGATATTGTTGACAGGACATGGAGGAATGCAGTCAAAGCCATGTATCCACCACGATCTGCAATCATCAAAAAAATCATTAAAAATAATTTTCTTTTGATTTTGACCAGGGAATGCTTGTGAAAAGACTTGCTTAGCGTTTGATATGAAACATTTATGAAAATGCATACAAATTACATACAAATGCAATAATAGTCAAACACTAAACATGCAAAGAAACTCTAGTATAACAATGTTTCTGTGATGTTAGTGACAAACAATTAATTTCATCTGAAAAACAAAATAAGATTCACTTGTCATTTTTAGCGCTAAGCAACTTAAAACCAATGAAATTAGGTTGAGTTTACTGTGTGGAGTTAAAGAGAGGATCATAAATAAACTGAATTGGGATGTTTTTTTTTTTTACCTTTGTAATTTTCCATGTGAAGGTTTACATAATAAATACACACTACACCAAATGCAATGATTAGAACTGCAACCATCACAGTGCAACACACATCTGAAAAGAAAAATGCATTGGAGCATGAATATAAAAACATCAGGCCCATTTCATTCTATCATAAAAAAAAAGACTGAACAATGAATAGCACGTCTGTTTTTTTTAATTTGTTAATGAAGCATAACTGTCCTTTTTAAGGAATTAGTCCCATTGAAGAAAAGAAAAGTGGATTTTTAAGTTGCAAAGTAATTTTGAACTCATGGTGCAGCTTTAGATGTTCTATATACACAGACATATATAAATCGTTTATTTGATAGAAATTAAGAAATACCATATTATATCTAAATTAAACAAAAAATAATTTTGCCAACTGAGAAAAAGAGGTCAGGGGTCATTGACTGGCAGACGCTGGTCTGATGTGGACCTAGCAAAATCTTTCAGATGACTGAACCAGGAAAATATTTGTAACAATGCCATTGACGTATGTAAAAAATGCTCATATTTTAACAATATTCATGAACATCATCTAGCGGCCAGAGCAGCATCTGTTGCAGTCCTGGACTGCAGTTTATTCAGTCAAATTCATTTATGTGAACGATTTAAGTCAAAGGACCCTTGCAAGTTTGGTTGAGTGCGCATGGGCTGTATGGTTGAAAATTGGACATCCAACTAAACTATACTTGTCAAAGAGCTGGATAAGCTGGTATAGAGCAACTTAGCTGGTTGACCTGCAAAGAGATTGTCTTTATGTGAGTTTGATGGTTTAGCTGGTCTGCCAGAATGGCCAACCTAACCCAACTAGTCAAGCAGTTGTCAACTACCTTGGTCATGCTGGATGTGTAGGTCATGCTGGTCGACTAACTTGGTCATGCTGGTCATGCTGGTCAACCTTCCTAGCTAGTCTACCAGCTCAACCAGTGACAATTTCTATGCTTTTCTTTGGGGGTCTAGTGGTTGACAAGCTTGACTAAATGAAAACACATCCTATACTGGTCAATCAGCTGAAGAAGCTGGACTAGACACCATGCTGGTGGACAAGCTTGGTCAATTTGGTCATGCTGGTCAACCAGCTAAACCATTCATTTCAAATTAAAACTTTCTTTTTGCTAGTCAACAAGCTATACTGGTCTACTGCTTCCTTACCATTGCAAACTTAAAACAATATTCTTTGAGATGAAGGCAGTTTAAGGCACTTTAAAAGAACAAGAACAAATAGAATTTAAGTTTGGTATAGAGTTAATATTTCCTTTTAGCTGTTACTTACTAGCATATGGTTGGTTCATTCAATTAGGCTTATGTCGAATATAAAAGCTTTAATTTTGTTAATCCAAGTTGTTTTAAAGGGCTCAAAACTCACATTTTTGTCATATTTTTTACATGACCAATTTACAGCCTCTCATTATTCATTAGAATTAAACAGGTTGCTGTGCTTTTAAGACAGGGATATGCAAATGTTCTGATTGCTTGCCCTGTATTGTGCCTAAATCATAAAGCAGTCTGGGCTTAAACACTCCTTATAGCTTCCCTGTAAATGGGAGGGGCAAACCTGCTGTACGCTGAATTGGCAGATAAATGTAAATGTTTGGGTTTTCATGACATCACAAAAACAATTAATTCAAAACAGACTCTTTTGACCATCTAGTTTCCATAGGCAGACTGTATAATCTGGGAATTGAACAGTATGGTTTGAAATTTTACCAATGTTTACATTAACAATGTCGACCTTAAGCACTTTTATTTCAAAAAGCTTTTAATATTATAAACCCTGTATTAAACTTTATGACTGTCATTGTTCTGGTCAAATTTCATTGGAAATATAGTTACTAATTAAATTTAATGAATAAAAGAAGGAAACTTTAAAAAATGACCTTGAAATCAAAATAAAACAAAGACAAACAAAGCAAATAAGTGAACAGGATTAGTATTGTGCACTATGGAAAAAATTAAATTATGAGAGCATCATACTTACATCCTATCCCTTTCTTCACAAAGTGACATCTTTGTTTATGACATCTATCACAACGCAACAGAAAAATCACTGATAGCCATGCAACAGCATGTATTACAGCCTCAAGTGGAAGAATCCAAGCTGAAAATTAGAACCATCAAAACATGTTAAATGCAGCAAAGTCATGCACATTAAACACATGGGTATTAAGAGGTATTATATATTTTTTTTTAAAGTTCTATATAACACAACTCAACACTGCAAAGAGAATCTGAGTTGATAAGTCTCTCTAGAATGATGGGTTATAGTTCACATCAAACCACTCTGAATGATTTTGTTCACATCTTAACTATTGAATTATGCAGATTTTGAAAAATCAGTGGCATTTCCTATTAAACGGGCAGCCAAACACTTAAAAGTATTTTCACAACTCTGATTTTACAGTGATGGTGATAGGAACAAGGGGAGGTGATGTCTACAACTAAATATAGCGATTTTCAACCAAATATAGACATTTAATTTACTATCCAAAACCACCAGTGAACCTACATACATGTTTATGTGTAATGTTGATGATGGTAAAATTGTGGAAAATCGAAAAAAAAACAACTAAAATAAAACTAAACAAAACAAACAAAAAAGCAGGTATTTGGGGCTTACTTTGAATCTTAAAACCCTGTATATACAAATCTATAAAAAAACAAGGTCTGCAGCATCCGGCAGCAAATTCATAACCATTTCATGTAATAACATTTGGTGAGGGAGGTTTAAGACACATTAGAAGTTTCAGACATCTGGCTTCCATCAACACTGTTGTATACAATTACTGTTGGATACTGTTCATGACACATACATAAGCTTATCATGACAACTAACATATGTTTATACATGTTTATTCCAATAGGTTTCATTCACTATAAAGATTACATTTGCCAATTTTGATCAAAGTTAGCTGAAGTAGCCTTAAACATTTATGTTGGATTATGATAGTTGCTATGTGAGCTTATGTAGGTGTCATGTAGCCTCTTGAACAGCGCCAAACAGCAAAGTGCTACCAAAAATTCTGACTCTACATCCAATCACTTTTGAATTTGAATTGAGTCCACCCAAATCAAACTACTCAGTTTAATAAAAAAGTTCTTTTAACTCCCATTTCTAGTTCTGCATTTCAGTTAGTCAAATAATACAGAATTAGTAACTTACTCAGTTTCCCCACTAGCTGTATTTATTTCCATCAGACATTCTCTCCTCTTGGGGTTCTAGATATGGGACCACTTGGATTTAAACTCACAATATCCTGAAGTTGAGGTGAGTTCTTAGACAGCTGCACCATGCTATGTTTCAAAATTAAAACAACACATTTCTACAGTGTATTAAACATTTCTAGACCCAAAAATCTGAGTAATTTCAGAGACTCCTAAGTGGTGCTATGGACTAAGCCATCACCCCCAACATGAGATGGGCATCCAAGTGGAGAAAATGTCTTGTGAAATTGTGTAATGGGGTCCCATCTTGTGGAAAAAATGAGTAAAGAAAAAAATACCAAGCTTAGAGGCAGAAATAATAAAAAAAAAAAAGAAAGTTAGGAAAACCTTTGACTAAACCAAGAAATGTGAGTTAGGTGAACTCTTGGCTGTTCTCAGATTAAGTTAACTAAAGAAAAGCCATGTAATCAGTTATCTCTTAATTTTAAGCTGAGCTCACTTTTATTTTTTTAACAGTGATGTTGATGATAGCATGGACTTTTTGCCACACAACACCTAAATGTATCTCTCTGTCATGAACAGATAAAAAAAAAAACACACACACTTTAGGCTAAACATTTCTCTGAATGACTTTGTTTAGATCTAAAAGATTTAATTCTGTAGACATTTTGTAAAATTAGTTCCCCTCTTAACTATAAAGATAAATTGTTCAACTAAATGTAAATATGATTAAAGCTTGCACACACATTATTGGGTACATACTCTTTGAGTCTGCTTTACCTTTACAGTAAAATACGTTTAAATACTTACTTGTAGTAAAATTCTTTGTGGAGATGCCGATGAGAATATAAACACTAAGCTCAGCCAGGCTGAATATTGTCAGAATAATAGATGACAGAACAATATGGAGACCTGAGAAATGAAACAAAACAGTGGTATCATTGATGAGACAATGCCCTTTTAATCTGTAATTAATCTAGGTTTAAGTTCAGAAGGTGGGAAAGTTAATGAATGAATAAATCCTGAATTTAATGGCCGGGTCCCATTGACAGGTTCAAATTTTTATTACATACTTCTATAGCTTAAGGATAACTCAGATGGCATTGTAATCCATGTAGTTACTGAGTAATAAACCTTGTAATAATGAGTGTAATAATATGTCTAGGGTTTAAGGAGTTACATTTTTGTGTAAGTAAAGAATCAGTTAGCTACTTACATCTAAAGGATTTTCCCTGAAAGTAGTGCCTTTGCAAAGTGAGGACCATCATAATTCCTATGATAACTGGAACCAGTATTGCGGGTATCTGAAAGCTCTCTGAAATGTCCACAGACATAAATAAATGGATTTAATACAGAAAATAAAGCAACTCAAGACTATACTCTCAATAGTGCTTTTCTGGTGTATTTTCCATTTGTTTTCAGTATATTGTAAAATATAATTGTAAAATGAAAAAAAAATAAATAAAAGAATTGTGCCATACTTTCTTCTCAGTAGAAGCAATTTTAGCAAGATAAGACCCAGAATACTTAACATTAAAGCAGCATTATGCAACAAGTCACCTTAAAAGAACAGCTTCAAAGTCATTTTGATGATACACTGACTTATAATAGGGAGAATGGCATCTCTGTCATTGCTACTCAGGGCCAGGGACATCTGATATAGTGCTATGTAACTTTGGAGGAGCAGCACAAGACCTCTCGCAAGAACTGCATAACACTTTATGGCACCAAACACCAACAACTATGGCTATAACGTCATGGCAGAGGTTGTGAAGAGACATAAAAAAATGTTGTCAGAGGAAATGAGGAAAATAAAGAGTGAGAGAGAGATTGAGTAAATCTCAGACTGGCTTTTACTTTTTGACGAGAGGTAAAAGAGATAAAAAAAAGATGCAAGATAGGCTCATGGTTAATGAGTAAACTATGAAAAACTATCAGCAGAGTGTTCATCCCTGCTAGTGTTATTTATGAAAGTCTGCGATGAAGCCTCTGACCTTGTCTGTGTCATTCCTGTCTCACAGAGTTTTGTAGCTTTTTTGATAACAAAAACATCTAACCTCACTCCCGTTTTAGGTTAGCATGCAAAGAAATAAATTCATTTTATGCCAAACGTTTGATGAATCTCATTCCAAATAAGCCTTAAGAGTTTGCAACATACTATTTTGCAACACACTATAATTAAATCCTCTAATATTCTGTTTCCTCTGATGTTGTCAGCAGAATTTGACTCCCCTTCACGTGAACATGCATTATACAGGGATATGGACACTACAGATTACACTCTGCAAAGGTCGGGAGAGCCCAAGAGCCAAAATACCAATTCTCACATAATGCTGCTTTAATAAAACATGTCCATGAACACAAACCCCCAAAGAAGTACTTTTGGTAACACTTTCTATGAATGTCACGTTTGTAAGCATCTATAAACACATTCATAACATGTTATAATGCATTCATAAGGCATTATAAACATGGCTATACATATTTATTGAAATGCATTACTCGTTATAGCCATGCTTATTATGCATTACGAATTGTTAACATAATACATTATAAGTACTGATCATAACAAATTATAAGAGGTCATAAGTCATATTTGTCCGCTCTAAGTAAAGTGAAGCGTACTGTACTAAAGCCTCCTCCAGTGTTAAGAGTGAGGCTTCAAGTTGAAGTATTTACTGAAGAATTTACTGAAACACTAAAACATACACAATAAAGCTCATTACAGGCTTCAAATGTCAGATTTTAAACTAGTGCTGCCATCAGTGTTTTACCCAACGTAGGAAAGGTAATGTACACCACCGTTAGCTTGGTATTTGTCTTTACTTTGCAGTCTCCAAGCTGGGACTGACTTCTTTGGCACTGACAGTATAACATGTTATCAACACTACTTATAATGCATTATATTAACAATTCATAATGTATAATAAACATGGCTATAAAGTGTAATTCAGTTTTATAAATGTTTATAATCATGTTTATAATGCCGTTTGAATGCATTATAACATGTTATAAATGTGTTTATAGATGCTTACAAACATGACATTCATAGAAAGTGTTACCGTACTTTTCTTCTGAATATAGTACTTGGTCATTTAATTTCCAGTCCTGTCCTATCCTCTGACTTCCCCATCGAAGTGGTCTAAACTCCTGAGAAATCCCCTGACAAACTTGTACTTAATGGCCATTTTAACTAGAATTTAAATAAATGAATTGGGGATTCTGACATTTGCACAGTACTTTTCACACTAAATATAAATGTAATAAGTTTTCTTTTTCTTGCTTCAGGCTAGCACTAAGAAGTTCTGTCTGTTTCAGGACAAGATTCTGTTCATTGGCTATACCATTTTATGTAAACAGGATGCGCACATGTTGTTTTGACAGTCCCTTGTAGAATATCTACAGATGCTCAAATTTTCAGGAAATTATATAGTGAAACTCTTAAAAAGATTGAAACCCTTAAATGGTCTGGTCCCACTGGCAGGGCCAAATATTTATTAAATAGTTATATAACCTAAGAATAGCTCAGCCAGGTTGTACCAAAGTCCCTGTAGTTACTGAATAATATGCCATTGTATGTAGTAAGCCTGGGATGTCAAGGTGGCACAGTTGTTTTTATTCCAAAATGTACAGTAAAGTGCTAGCTTACATTACTTTGTGACCTTTCGGTACATTATGTACTTCCAATTATTTACACACAAACAAGCAATACATACGTTGAAAATCTTCTTTGCTTCGGATAATTAAAATAAAACCCAGCACAGCACCATTGCATATTTCTAGAACCACAGTCGAATGCATCCGGAGACCACAACCAGCTATAGAAACAATGAAGGGAAACTTCTCATTTATCTTTCAAGTTAAGCTCGATGACATAATGTTGCAGTAAAATATGATAAAACAAGGAACCAATATGTGATTAAAGAAATGTTCCTTACCTAATACTGCAGCACCAATGGAACACATGCCTTCTAGTACAACCATAACAATCAAAATATGTTCACTTCCTGTTTGGATTTGGCGAATGTTTTGTGAAAAAACTAAATAAGACAACAGAAAAAGCAAAGAGAGAGACAATTGTGTAATAAAAACAGTATGTATTATTATTATTATTATTATTATTATTATTATTATTTTGGTAACACATTGTTATGAGGTCTATTTCTGAATTTTATGTAATAAATGATGGGGACCAGTCACAGTTATAGGGATGTATCAGAACAAATGACACATTAATTAGGACCAATCACAGTCAGGGGGAGGTCCAAGAACAAATGACACTATGTTTAGGACCAATCACAGTCAGGGAGAAGTTTCAGAAAAAAACACACTGATTAGGACCAAACACATTCAGGGGGAGGTCTGTAAACATATATGGATATTGTAATGTCCCAACCTCCTGCTAAGCCACCTCCAACCACTAGGAGGAATCGGAGAACTGGGATGAGCTGATTGAGGCTGATTAGGTGCAGCTGTGTACACTCTACTTAAGGAGAGCTCTCCCACAGCTCACTGCTCAGTCTTGAGTTTGTGCTGACATGTGCATGTCTCTCTTCTTGAGTCTCTATTTAAGTCCATCTCTGCACCTGGTCAGTGGCTTATCCCATAGCTCACCAGGCTTCTAACATGGAGATTGCAAGTCTGACCCTCACATGGGATAAGCCAGCCACCGTGTTACAGGTATGCAGACAGAATGCATTTTAGTTAACTGTATACATGAAGAAATGCTGAGTGCTGACTAACATTAAGAGAATAAACAAGGAAATTAAAGATTAAATACACATGAGGCTGGAGTTATTCCAGAACCAAGCACCTTCAGGCACTTCAGGCCAATGAAAGCATCCAAGCCAATCTTGTCCATTCTTATTATAATGGGTAAAAAAGTTGACAAAAGAAAAATGGAAAGCATGTGTGTTTACATGCTTTTTTATGCAGGAAAAGCACAATTGGATCTCATATAGCCACACTGGGGATGCATTTTATGAAAATGTGTTAATCCAGCCAAGTACACAATACAATACACATGATAATGCAAGGTGTAAACAGGCTCTCAGCTCAAAGATATAAGTGAAAAAGCTGTGATGCTAGAGTTCCTCACATTAGGACTGAGCCTCTAAAAGAGAGACAGACTTAATTAATATGGTTCCCATAAGTGCTGTAAATTTAACCTCTGTTAACCTCTGTTTATGTTGTAGATCAAATCAGAACCATACCTTTTTTTGGGCATGTGTAGCATTGGCTTATACATAAGCTAATTTGAGCGCTCAGTAAGGGAAGCGTTTCTTAGTGTCATTCTCAGTGTCTTTTATACTTACCATTATTTTTTATTGCCAATTAATGTTTTCTTTTAAACATTAGAAATATGTTGCATATGGAATTTTACAAACAGTCATTCCTGATACACTTACTGCAAAGTGAAATTTTATGTTTTACTTACTTGAACATGCAGTGATTGTTATAATTGAGTGGTACACTGGAACAACCAAAGCCTTCACTGCTGTTGCCAAGCGCTCTGTGGATTACATTTGCTTAGTTATTATGAGAACGTGGTGTAAATCAACATTTAATTACAAGTAACTCAAACATAGAAAAAGAACTAATGACAATATTGCAATAAGGACACACACACACACACACACACACACACACACACACACATATATATATATATATATATATATATATATATATATATATATATATATATATATATATATATATATATATATAAATCAATAGTTTGAGATCTTTTTCCTTCTGGATTTTTTCCTGGTTTTCTTCACAATTTAGATGTATCCAGTTCTACCCACTAGGACTCCCCTAATCACACGATACTATCAGCACTATGAGCTAACACAGACTTCCTCTGAGACCTGTGAAGTGCCGTTGCATCTTTACAAACTGTTGGTAACACAATGTCATTGGACAGCTGAATGTACTCAGAGGAAAGTGCCAACCACAACATCTGTTATGTCAGCTAACAGACACCTGTGCTGGCTAGCATCATGCTGGGAGATTGAGGACCATCCTACGCACCCAAAGAGAGTGAGGCCAATTGTGCTCTCTTGGACACCCAGCCATGGATGGCTGTAAAATCACCAAAGATTGAACTCACGATCTCATGATGATAGGGCCAACACTATCAACTGTGTGCTTGAAGCAGTTGTCTTCTGTTTTTGAGAGTATGCGGGTAAAGACAATGCAGTTTATCCAGAAAACCTGAGAAGCAGGTTTCAGTGGGGATCAATGTTGCAATTTCCTGATATTAGGGCCAACACTTAGGCTGTTGCACAGCTCTTCTTTTTTATCTTGAGTTGAGTTACACCACTATAGAATGTTTTGGTGGGTAAAACATCTGTTGTCTCTTCATTACGGAACCTTTCACAATCAATTTGTATTCTGTTTCAAGCTTGTTGATGGCTCCATAAAAACTCTAGCCACCTTTAACTCTGTGCTTCATGATGGCACAGTTAGTAGGCAGCCCTGTACACAGTTTGCATCCTCTTTACAACTCTAGTAAATCAAATATTTCTTTCAGACACATTGTAAGTGCATATTACAGTCACATCAAGGTACAAAGTGCTTGGGCCTACATCTGTAAGCAGCCTAAGACTAACTGATGAAACATTTTTGCAAAGACTTACTTGGAAATCTGTCCAGATGAGGAAAGGTCTTCATCAGCATGAGGGGCCGTAAGATACTGACTGTTGAACAAGTCACAATCTCAATCAGAGACCCTGTAGGGAATTAGAATAAGTCAGTGCTGAATACTTGAGCTACACAGATTGTATGGACATTTGCATATTTGTTAGAATAAAGGAACAAGAACTCACCTTCTGCTGACCATAAGATGAAAGCAACACATATACAAATGTTCGGACAGATGATCAGAGAAGCATGCATCACTTTTCCACTAGTAGCTAAAAAGAAAGCAATGGGCTTGATATTTATGAGACTGATGAATATCATAGGAATGTATTATGTGGACAATGTCTGAAATACCTTTCTTTTTCAACAGGATGAAAATGGGAATACAAAATCCCACTGAAAGCAGCAGTGCAATACAGCACAGCACCAAGATCAATATTTGGCTTGTGGAGAAACCTGTAGAATGCACAGGTACATGCACAGGTATTAATTAAAAGTACTGAAAAAGTTTTATTAAGTCTCCAATAACACATTTATCATTCACCTGTAAGATCTTGTGATTTGCCATCCTATAAAGCACTCATTTTTGGTGGCACTTCAGTCCAAGGGGACATTATAATGCCCTTATAAAGCCCTTATTAAGCTTTCACAATTCAGTAGTTGGTAGTTAGTTGACTGCCCATTAATGCATAAACAATGACTTGTGTGAAATAACCACTGTCTACTTTCATTTATGTATTATACATCATACTCTTCTACATATTTTAGATGTTCATTAGTATGGTTTTATTAAGCCTTATTAGGATAAGTGTAAGAAATAAAAAACATTTACAGACCCTGAAATCTATTTGCTCCAGTCACTGCATTTATTACATAAACAACAGACTCTATAAAAAGGTTATCCTATCATTGAAGACCCTTCACATGTCATCCACTCTGCATTTGAGCTGTTGCCCCCAGGCCACGATTATCACTGCCCTAGATGCTGATCTGTCCGATGAAGAGTGTCATTTGTGCCCGAGGCCATCAGGCTGATAAATAATCATTCACAGTCAACTATGTGATTACTGTGTATTTTTTTAACTTATCTATGAATATGTATGTCTTTAGTATCTCTTTGTGTCATTTAGTAATTTACTCTATGTTATATGTTTGTGTCATGTTTAAATGATTAGTTATGGATTGCCCTTTGGGGACAAATAAGGTTTATTCAATACAATTCAATTTAATTGCTGGCCACTAACATAAGGCCAGTAGCTGCAAGTTCACTGGCTGCTCATTATCACAGCAATAATGAGGGTGAAGTATTTTTCAAAGCAGATTGATTTGCAAATTATATATTATAATCTTGTGCACAACACTTACCTGAGCAACAGGTCTATATGGAGTGTGTTTATTAATGAACTCTACAATGATTATGCCCTTGAGCTTCTATTAAGGCAATAACAGATATAAATTGCTAGTTATTACTAAGTTATTAAGCGATAACTACTATGAATTAACACTTTTGTAGAAGTATATACTAACTGGAAATCTAAGATTTTACTTTAGATTTAATTGGTGATTTGCTGTTCAATTAATAACAAAAATCAAAAGGAAACACCAAACTATTGTATTAAAAAAAGAAAAAAGGAATTCTGTTGGAAAGCATTGCAATAACTAATTGACTATGTTTTTCATGATTAGCATAGATTTCATACAGACCCAACACTCACTTATAGTAATAAGCAGCCAGTTAATAAGTAGTTATTTGTTGATACCTAAAATATTATGCAAAATATTATTATGTTTAGTATACAAATAAAAAGTGCTCTGGGAAATGTTTAATTTAGCCTAGTAATCATTTAATAATGCAGTAATGAGTGTCGAGGCTTAATAAGGGCATTATAATGTATCCTTTTTCTGGATTATTTCCTAATGTTCGAGCAAGTGCAATCACCTCAGCACTAAAATGCAAATGAAATCCAAAAACAAATATTTAAATTAGAATTTAGAATTTATATTGTTACCTAGTTTCTGCAGGACCACAGTAGTGTGTGCTGACCAGTTACTAGTGTGGACCTCACAAATGAACTCTCCTTTATCCTCCAGCTTCACATCCTTCACCTTCAGTGAGAAGTTACCTTTGGGGATTTCAGCGATAAAGAACTCGGCTCTTCCCTGATAACTTTCATGAGAAAGGAAGACCTCATTGTCTTGAAAGAACAGAATAAGGTTGTCTTGGTCTTGACTTCTTTTTTTCCAGGACACTTCTTCAATCATGTGGGCTGGTACATTAGAGTCTACAGAACAGTTCAGTATTACCTCCTCACCCACAGAGGCCAAGATAGCATGGTCGACCCCTTTAACCACCAGAGGCTCTGAAAAAAACAGGCAAAGATAGATGGAGTTAAAAACAGTGGTGTATTTGCTGTGGTAGCAAAAGGATTACTGAGTTTCTTGGCATGCTTTCTTAATAATCTCTTACATTACAAGTGTCCCACAATGGAGTCTATATTTGTGTATAGACTGTGTCTGAATGAATGAAACATCCTTTATTATCTGTTTTCCTTGGTTTTGCCTGATTTGTTGCTCATAACCTCACTAAATATAAAGGCAGAGCTGACTAGCATGTGGATCTACATAGCTACCAGATCAAGCAAAATCAAGAAAAGAAAGGAAGTTTCTTTCAACTGTTTGGAGATGAAGTATGGTTACCCACCAGTATCTTTAAGTTCCACCTCAGTTTCACTGGACTCTTCAATTGTACTGACTTTACACCGGTAAACTCCAGCATCAGTTTTGACCACATTGTTGAGCAGGATGGAGAAGTTCCCTTTGGATATCTCATCTGGGAAGAGGTGGACTCTATCCCTGAAAGACTGACTCTGCAAATCTGGTCTGCTTTCTCCTCGCGGGAAGAGGATCACCAGAGATTCTGAATCTGCTTTTCTCCATTCCACCTGCAGACCCTCCAGAGGCAGGGGGCTCTGAGAGAAACATGGCAGGAGGACTGTGTCTCCTAGCTGGGCCACAAGAGGACCAGAGGAGCCTTGGACATGGAGACCTAGATAAAACATTCCTATAAACTAGAGTAGGAGATATTAGTCTATGAACAACCTCAATGAACACTCTTACATGCTACCATAAGAAATATTAGTCCATAAACAACCTTAATAAACACTTCTATACACAAGCACAGTAGTTTTCAGTCCATAAACAAGCTGAATAAAAACTCTTGTGCATTAGAATAGGAAATATTAGCTCATAAACAACCTCATACACACTCATAAACTCTAGAATAGGATACAGTACTCCATAAACAACCTCAATTAATTCTCATATTCACTATAGTAGGATATATTAGTCCATAAACAACATAAATAAATACTCATATATGTTAGAATAGTATATGTTAGCTCATAAGCAACCTCATAAATGTTTCTACACACTAGAATAGGACATAGGAGGACATATTGGGAAATTTCAGATGTATATATTTCAACTTGACAAATGTAAACTGTATGTATTTAGTTAAAACACTGTGCAACTGATGATATAATGACATATAATATTAGTTGCATGTAAATTAAATGCATAACAAAATGGCAGAAAGAAATAGGCAGATCTAGGTTAAAGTCAAGATGATTCTACACTCTTGGGTACCCAGATGCTGATTATTTCAGCTGTAATAAATAACTACAATAAATCCTTACCTTCGTATCCAACAGCAACAAGAAGCACTAAGAACAATGAAATATACATTCCCCATAGAATGTGGGACGTGAAAATATAATGATTTAAAAATAGTAGTTAAAAAACACAACTAATTGACCGGCACACTTTAATCCACACATCTCACTATCAACTCTAAACACACTCTAAACAATCACCGTCATGCAGCCGTCAGAATGCTGCTATGAGGAAAACATTCTTTTAAACTGGTAGGGCAAGGGGAAATGAAGGGACATGCATGGGGAAGTTAAAAGAGACCCAATGAACACAATTGTTTGCTTATTCAGTTTCTTGTACTATTTTTTTCCACCAATACTTCATTTGTCCTTATCTTAGTTCTCTTGATCCTACAGTGGTTCAACAGTTCATTGCATTAACAAAAAATATGGTAACACTTTACTTAAACCTTGCTATAGCACTGACCTAACTAGGCCATAAATATGCCATAAGCATGCCAAATGCATATGTCACATCTCATGTTTTTGCTCTGTATTCTAGTTTGCTGTCATGACATCAAACTTGACATTTGTCATGACAATTATTGAGATTGAAAATATAACACTGCTAAATTACTGGATATAATTTGTCATTAAAACCTATAACAGCATGGGAAATCCACCATGACACATCAGTGTTATGTAGCAGGCTTCAAATAAACTGTTATCAAAGAAGTTACTCTTTCTTAAATATTCACCCAACCTAACTAAACAGATAAGAGAAACATAGTAAACCTTTACCATCTCATGTGTAAGTTAATTTATATTTAGACTGTAATGTTTTTCATCACATATTTAGAGGCATACAGAGATTAATGCTAACCATAAACAAATGGCCTTCCACTGACTTTCCAATGAAAGTGCCAAATAATGTACAATGCATTTATAAATACTGGGGGGAATGTTGCTTTTCATTTAGCATGTCTATACTTCATAATTTAAGGTTTAACCATTAAAGAAAGGCTACTTTTTTGTCACTGAGCATGAGAGCAAATTGGACAGGCACTTGGCAGTGATGACAGCATGGTTACCAGAGAACATTCACATCTAGTACAACTACATTCCTACACAAGGAACCTCATTTTACAAAAACGGTGAGCAGTGTAATTAAAAGTGTAGCAACACAGCCAGTGGTGGATTATGTTCAGCTTGCACCAATGTTTTCCAAAAAGTTCATAAAATAAATAAAGAAAAAAATTCATGTTGGACGAGGCTAATCCTAAAATTATAAATCTCCAATGTTAAGTCAATACAACTCAATTCAGAACCAAGCTAATGTCTTGTTTCCACTTGCCTTATTACCAGTAGTGTGAACTGCAATAGGGGAGTTTACAACCCATATGTGAACATTTACAAGGAGGGAGGCCTTTAAAGTACAAAAATATATTAAAAAGAAAATAAATAATTAATAAATATGTGTAAATGATGATGATAATGTGAGATTGTAAGTATATAAACATTTTATGCATATGTTCCTTGGTATAATTTTTGTCATTGCAGTATTGCTTCACCCTCTCCATTTTCTCTCACAACATACTTCAATCTATGAGTTCTTGATCTCCCCTACATTCTCTAATTATTTCCCTATCAAAGTATTTTCAAATGCTGTTTTCCCTAAATAGCTTTGTAAGACTTTTGAATGCTGTGAAGACACTCTCTGTAACTGGTGTACACTCTGTGTTCTCTGAGCTGGACTATGTTCTGACCTCATTAGAGTTTGCAGAAATTAAAATAGGCTTACAGGCTAGCAGGCTCCTCCAGCAATATTCAGAGTTCAGAATGTACATTCAATAATATGATACCTTAACGCCTGTTACAATTTTCAATTTTTTATGCTGGAATGCTTGCGATAAATGCCATAAAATATACACCACTGGTACCATATTACTAACATAACACAGGGAACCCCACAGAGATGGAGAACTTAATGTTATGCTAATGATGGTAATAAGTAAAAAAATTCACAAAGAGAAATGAAATGTATCTACATTAACTATTGGTATTTAACGACAGTCATGGCTGCCTCATAATTGTATGACTAAGATTACGGTAAACAAAATTAGAATTAACACTTCAAGCCCTTTAATATGGAGCAGCTGGCTAGAAGACTCATCAGCAAGTAAAACTAAGAGCTAAAACCAAATTACACTACTTCATATTACTTGTGGGGATAAAGTAGCAATGGCATTGTGTTGTGCTGTTATTTTCTACACTTTATTTTATTTAATTTATTTTTTTTTTATTTTGAATAAGCGAACACTTCACAACAAGCTGAAGGATGAAATATGTCAGTCATTGTCATAACTGACATATACTCTAACAATGTCAAATTGCTAATGACTTTAAAATGTGATAAAAATTTGAGATAAACTGAGAAATTACTACATATCCAGTTTGAGTGTATCCAGACGTTAATTGTAATCAATTAATTCTGCTACTTTAAGGTGCACCCACTGCTGACACAGGTGTTCAATTGCACACACACAGCTTGTATAGGGAGATTCACTTGAAAGAGGCCCCGAATATTCTGCTGTAACTCCCGTTAGGATGAAGCAATCTGAACCAAAAAATACGCCACATACCTTGACATATGTATAATTGATTGCATTACATGCCATGCTGGAAGTGATCTCCGTTTTCTGCCGGACACCTTTTGACATTCTCCATGCAGTTTTGCCTTTTTTGCAGCTCTCTGACACGTTGAGCAAGACCTCCCAGTCTCCTGTGTGAGGTGTCTCAGAGGTTTTGTGGGCAATTGCTGCAGACGATGCTGCACGTCATTGATTGTGTCCTGCAACATTTTCAGATGGCCTCTGCCATGAGAAACGATCAATGATTCCGTCATTTCCAGTTTCCGCACCATCTTCTGAATAACATTTTTTGAGGGTACGTCACAAACACCATATTTCTTCCTAAATTCACTCTGACATTGCTTAAATGAATTGGTGACCCAATAGGTTCGCACCATTAAGACACATTGCTCAATACTGTACACCACCATCCTGATGAGAAAATTGCACATTGTTTCGTTCAGATTGCATCGTCCTAGCAAGAGTTATAACAGAATATTTGGGGCCTCTTTTCGAGTGAATCTTCCTGTATAATCTCCATTCTCAATATAATGAGACACTGTGGAGCAGCTGCACATGAGCTTAAGGTCTACATGTCCAATGCCAAGCATCAATTAAAAGAATATAAGCAGTGGAATGGTGTTCTCTGGAGCGATGGAGCTCCATCTAATCTTTCTGGGATTAGTTAGAGTGGCTTTCATGATCTAGACCTGATCTCACATAAGTACCTGACCTCAGTAATGCTCTTGTAGCTGAAAGCAATCAAATCCACACAGCAATGCTCCAATATCTAGTGTAAAACCTACCTAGAAGAGTAGAGGCTGTTACTGCAGCAAAGAGGAACAAACTCCCTGTTAGTATCCTTGATGTCATGCTAAATAAGCAGGTGTTTACAAAGTTTTGGATATAAAGTCCACTGCAAAAAAATATCTTTGCAAGTTAAGTTAAATCTACTCTAAGTATTGAATATTTCTCATTTTGTGTTTGTTGTAAGAATATAATACAATTAATTTGCTTATTTCTAGCCATTTTTACTTGTTTTACTTTTTTCATTGGCAGACAATTTAGGTTTTCTCAAGAAATGTGCTTGAAATAAATTAATCTCTTCTCTGAAGGGATATCAAGGGACCCTAAACGCACCTGTGCTCAGCAGTCATAAAGTCATGTCTGGATGGAAATTGTACTGCATAAAGATGGGGTCCTCTAGTGGCATTCCCCTCAGTGATCTGTAACAGGAAGCTGGTGATGAATGGCTGTGTGATACATTCACTCCATCAACGTCCCCATGCAGTGACATTTATAAAGCACATGACAGCTCTGTGTGTTTTCAAAGAGGAAGATAAAATCTGTATATTGATGGTGTTCCCTCTGTGAATGGAAACAAAGGAGTTTTGGATAAATGATGGTGAATTAAAAGGTTAGATTGTGCAGGATTATACAATTATAGAAAAATAAGATTAAAAAAAAAGAAAAACAGAGACCCCAGCACCAGGAATGAGTTTGCAGAGTTAGAAAAGCAAACAATATTACATACAAAAGAAAATTTTCTTATGGGTCATGGGTAATTTTCCGAGGTACGAATTCGAGTTTGGTTTCAAGCCTTTAAGGTATGAATCCAAGTTGGGTTCTGAGTCTCTGAGCTGCAAGTCTGAGTCGAGTCTTAAATCTCTGGCATTTGAGTTTATGTCTGGTCTCAAATCTCTGAGTTGTGAGTCTGAGTTAGGCCTCAAGTGTCTGAGGTGCGAGGCAACGTTAGGTCTTAAGTTCTTGGGGTGTGAGTCTGAGACGGGTCTTGAGTCTCTGAGGTGTGAGTCCAAGTCGAGTTTTGAATCTCTGGGGTATGGGTCCGAGTCTGGTCTCAAAGTATCTGGATGTGAGTCAGAATTGGATTTGTAGTCTCTGAGATGTGACTCCGAGATAGATCTTGAGTCTCTGAGGTATGAGTCTAAGTTGAGTCTTGAATATCTGGAGTATAAGTCAGAATCTGGTCTTGAGCCTGTGAGGTGTGTCTGAGTTGGGTTTTGAGTCTTTGGGTTAGGAGTCCGAGTTGAGTTTTGAGTCTCTGGGGTACAAGTCTGAGTTGAGTTTTGAATCTCTGGGGTGTGAATCCAAGTTAGATCTTGTGTCTCTGGGGTACGAGTCTAAGTTGAGTCTTGAATATCTGGAGTATAAGTCAGAATCTGGTCTTGAGCCTGTGAGTATGTCTGAGTTGGGTTTTGAGTCTTTGGGTTAGGAGTTTGAGTCTAGTCTTGAATCTCTGGGGTACGAGTCTAAGTCTGGTCTCGAGTCTCTGAGGTGTGAGTCTGAGTTAGGCTTTAAGTCTATGAGGTGTGAGTCCAAGTTAGGTCTAAAGTTCTTGGGGTGTGAGTCTGAGACGCGTCTTGAGTCTCTGAGGTGTGAGTCCGAGTTGAGTTTTGAGTCTCTGGGGTACGAGTCTGAGTTGAGTTTTGAATCTCTGGGGTATGGGTCTGAGTCTGGTCTCAAAGTCTCTGGATGTGAGTCAGAATTGGATTTTGAGTCTCTGAGATGTGACTCAGAGATAGATCTTGAGTCTCTGAGGTATGAGTCTGCATTGAGCCT